AAAATGGAAACAATTCAACTTGCATTTACTAAGTGGACCTGCTGGAAAAAAATTAAGAGCAATTATAACCAGAATGGCTGTGTACATCTGGAAGCCAAATGCAAAGAGAATGGGGATGCTCACAATGAGTATCATTTGGTTACTGCCTTGCCGAAATTTGACTTCTCAAACTTCTCTACTGCTTAAAATCCTAACAGAAGGACCATTATCTGTGGGGTCTTTTGGATATTTTCAATGATATCAACCATGCAACAGATTTTTCTGTACCTTGACTTCCACTCCTCCCATTGTACATCTGAAGTTTGATCCAGTATTGGAGCAGGTGAGGTCATTCCCAAGTGAAGGATGGCCAGCCAGAGAAAAAGAAGTCCTGAGTGGCAAAAATCCCACCCCTCACGCAAGACATCCACAGCTGCCTGGGCAGGGTGAGAAACCTGCCCAAACCCCAGCCATACATAGACAGTGGATCAAATTTCTCTCACATGTGGAAGGTAGAATGCTTGCCTAGCATGTATGAAGTCCTGGGTTCCATTCTTCAGTACCACCTAAAAAGAAAAATCCAGAGCCGGGCGCCGGTGGCTCATGCCTGTAATCCTAGCTACTCAGGAGGTTGAGCTCTGAGGATCACGGTTCAAAGCCAACCCCAGGCAAGGAAAGTCAGTGAGACTCTTATTTCCAATAAACCACTAGAAAACAGGAAGTGGCGCTATGGCTCAAGCGGTAGAGCACTTGCCTTGAGCTGAAGAGCTGAGGGACAGCGCCCAGGCCCAGAGTTCAAGCCCCACAACCGACCAAAAAAAAATAATCCAGAAGTGGTGGTGTGGGTCAAGTGGTAGAGTGCTAGCCTTGAGCAAAAGAAGCTCAGGAACAGTGCCCAGGCCCTGAGTTCAAGGCCCACAACTGACAAAATAAATAAAAATAAAATAAAATACAACTATGCTTGATAACCTGTATAGAGCTCAATGCATTTGCACACATACTGACTAAAGGAGAATATACTTAAAGGGAGAAATCCAAAGGCATAACTCCTTTTAACAACTAAAGTACTATTTATCAAAATGAATATCAGAAAGTGGAACTATGCTTTGAGGATGGGTAAAGAGGGGCCAGGAGGGCTGGGAAGGTGGCTCAGTGGTAGAGCGCTTGCCTTGCATGCCTGAGGCCCTGAGTTCGATTCCTCAGCACCACATAAGCAAAAAGAAAAAAGCCGGAAGTGGCGCTGTGGCTCAAGTGGTAGAGCGCTAGCCTTGAGCTGAAAAGCTGAGGGACAGCGCCCAGGCCCAGAGTTTAGGCCCCACGACAGGACCCAGAAAAAAAAAGGGGGGCCAGGAATGGAGGGAGGAAAGGTGAGCAAAGTAGTCATCATACAAAATACACGTTATATAAAAAATGAATTATGTTACTTGAGGGTAGGAATGGGAGGGGGAAAATAGGGAAGTACAAAGGAAGGGGTGACATTGACCAAAAAGCATAGTACTCACACCTGACATGAAATATTAACCCCTAACAGCAATACTTTTTATAAAAAATTAAGAATAAAATATAAAAGTAGGTACCTAAAAGTACATAATAAAATATTAGAAAGCACTGGGCACCAGTGGCTCACACCTGTCATCCTAGCTACTCAGGAGGCTGAGATCCAAGGATTATGGTTCAAAGCTAGCCCAGTCAGGACAGTCCCTGAGACTCTTATCTCCAATTAACCACCAGAAAACCGGAAGTGGTGCTGTGGCTCAAGCGGTAGAGCACTCATCTCAAGCTGAAGAGCTGAGGGACAGCGCCCAGGCCCAGAGTTCAGGCCCCACAGCCAACAAAAAACAAAACAAACAAACAAATATATATATTAGAAAGCAAGTAATTGTCTAATAAAACTTCCTGTGTGACTTATACTTAACTTTTTACATTGCATATAATATTTCCTTTCTTTTTTTGAGATTGGAACATGAACTTGGTATCTTGACAGTTTCATTCACTGGCTGATGTTCTACTACCTGAGCCATGCCTCCAAACCCAAACTTACAATACTTTCAAGGCTGAAAACTGACAGCGTGTCACATTTACATCATCATGATTTAAACCCCAAGAAAATAAAATCCAGAGATTCCTCCCAATGGCTGGACAATGAATCAGATCTAAATGTTGTCTTTTCTAATTTTCTTGTGTGTGTGTGTGTTTGTGAGAGAGAGAGAGAGAGAGAGAGAGAGAGAGAGAGAGAGAGAGTCCTAGGGCTTGAACTCAGGGCCTGGGAGCTGTTCCTGAGCTTTTTCACTTAAGGTTAGCACTTGACTACTTAAGGCACAGCTCCATTTCCAGTTTCATTTATTTTTTGGCAGCTATTTAGAGATAAAAGTCTCATCAACTTTCCTGCCACCATCCTCAGCCTTCTGATTAGCTAGAACTTAAGGCATGAGCCATCAGCACAGGGGTGGGTGTTTTCTGTCCATATTGTCCCCACCATTCTGTGATAGTGTCATAGTCTCAAATGTGACTGAGAAAACACAATATAAAGCTACAATAATTTTATCTGAAACTTTGAAGCATTATTTCATAGAATTAGTATCAAAAGGCATAACTTAAAAAAATTAGTAACAATATATCTTAAAAAGTTCAAATTAAGGATAATACATAACTAATGTGGTTTGGGGCTTGGAAGGTGGCTCAGTGGTAGAGGGCTTGCCTTGCATGCTCGAGGCCCTGGGTTCGATTCCTCAGCACCACATAAGCAAAAAGAAAAAAGCCAGAAGTGGCGCTGTGGCCAAATGGTAGAGCGCTAGCCTTGAGCTGAAGAGCTGAGGGACAGTGCCCAGGCCCAGAGTTCAGGCCCCACCACCAGACCCAAAATAAATAAATAAATAAATAAATAATTGATGTGGTTTATATTCTTAATGTTTCTGGGAAAGAGAACCAATGGTTCTGCTAACACTTAGTTATGGGAAATTACTTATCGCAGATAACAGACCATTGAGGAACCAACATCCAAGTGTGAAAATGGTTGCTTCAGACACAAATTCCCTGCAGGGTTGGCTATGGAGGAAAGGAAAATAAGGGACGATCCAGGCAGCACTAGCTGTGGAGCCCCACAGTTCAAAGCCAGCCCAGCAGCAAAGTCTGTAAGAGTCCACTTCCAATTAACCAGCAAAAAGCCAGACTTGGGTGGGAGGGACCTCAACTAAGAGAGCCAGCCATGAGCTGAGAGAAAGTGAGTTGGAACCTTGGCATTACAAGACAGATGCAAAATGTACTTGTGGTGCAACTGCTGGTCCATGATTATTTCCAACCTTCAATCTTCACGAGACCACACAGAACACACTTTGGGAAGGTTTACAATAACATTTCAATCCAATAGGGTGACTTGAGTCTGACAGTAGACTAAGTGAAGCGAAGAGATATGAGATGCATTCGCTAACCAATTCTCAATGAAAATAAAAAATGACAACTGTCTGTAAAGAATTAGAGTTGATGGTGAGGTAGAAATTTGCTAAGTTTCAATATGAAAAAAGGTGAAGATACAATTTAAATTGCTAGAGATTCTACACATAATTCACAGGATTGCTACTGCCCCAGTTCTGCGTTCTGACTTAGACTTCCATTCTCGATTTTCTTACCACTGTTTGGCTGGATAATATTTTCACGGACAAGCTCAAAGCCATAGACTGCTGACACTGTACAACTTCCACTCATCAAAATCCCTACAATGCCTCTGATAGTCTCACAAACAGCTCGGTTCTCTTCTAGAAAAATGCCAGCAGGGGGCTGGGAAGGTGGCTCAGTGGTAGAGTGCTTGCCTTGCATGCATGAGGTCCTGGGTTCGATTCCTCAGCACCACATAAGCAAAAAGCCAGAAGTGGCGCTATGGCTCAAATGGTAGAGCACTAGCCTTGAGCTGAAGAGCTGCGGGACAGCGCTCAGGCCCAGAGTTCAGGCCCCACGACTGGACCCAAAAAAAAAAAAGAAAGAAAGAAAGAAAAATGCCAGCAGAGCGTAGTAACCTGTTATATGAAATCTTCAGATTCTCAGAAACTCTCAGAGGATGTAGTACAGAGAAACACTTCTTGGCCCTCAAGATAAAACAGCAAAATATGTTTTGTTTGTTTGGTTTTTTGAGGGTCCAGGTCATGGGGCCTGAACTCTGGGCCTGGGCGCTATCCCTCAGCTCTTCAGCTCAACACTAACGCTCTACCACTTGAGCCACAGCGCCACTTCTGACTTTTTTCTTTTTGCTTATGTGGTGCTGAAGAATCGAACCCAGGGCCTCATGCATGCAAGGCAAGCGCTCTACCACTGAGCCACCTTCCCAGCCCCTGCAAAATATGTTTTATCAGAATCCTTTTGCCTTATTCAAAATAGCTGCAGTATACAGAGTAAGGTGCTCCTTACAATGCTTCACTTGTGACACAATGCCAAACTGGCTTCTTTCTGAGAAGGTTTTCAGCTTTTGTAATGTCTTTGGAGAGTCTCAGAAACTTAAAGGTGGTCAAGTGTTCTTTGCTCCCTAGCTTTGTGGTTAAACAAAATACTTTTTCATTTTTCTTCACATAGAAAGCAAAATGTTAGCTGAGCTAAATCACTGTGTTAATTAGAGAGAATTGGCTAGGATTCTTATATTTAAATATGTTCAACATTTTCTGTCTAGTTTAACCATGTCTCATGGTATTCATTGAAGGGATTCAATGAAATCTGAAGCTCCATTATTTCTTACAGCTTTTAAAAGGGATACTTTTTCCTTCCTTCCTCCCCCTCTTCTTTTCTTCCTTCTTTTCTTCCCCCTTTCTTACTTCCATTCACCCTCCATTTTCTCCTCCTCCTTTTCCTTCCTCCTCTTTGACTCGCCTCTCTGTTCCTTCCTCCTCTTCCTCCTTTGCTCCCTTCTCTTGTTTCCATGATATATCTTGCTGAGGAACAGCACAGAGTCAAAGTTTCTATGCAAATTAGTTTTTAATATTCAGAATTACTAGACTAGACAAAGGCAGTGAAAAACTAAAGCAAAACTGTCACTTGCCTTATTCCCCTCCCTCTGCCTGTCTGCCTTCTGTGTAGCCCCACTGCTCCCCGTTCTGCAGCTCCTGGGAGAAGGCCTCTGGGTTTGTGTTGACTGAGCAACTGACATGGGCAGCTGCATTAGATTAGGCTATGTGATTTCAACTATAGGTCAACAGGAAATACAGAGAGCAAGTGTGGAATCATGTTGAGGTTCAATCAGGCCTTCCAAAATTTCTCCAAAAGTACCTTTGCAAGCCATTTTAGAGATTCATTGCTGCTACAACTATGGATTCAAATATGATGAAAATATATTAGAAAAAAATGAAGAATAAAAGGGAAAATGAGGCTCTGGGAGAACTTTGTCATGGAATATAGGGATTTTTGGATGATTCCCTTTCATTCTAAACACCCTTAAGTTTAATCTATCCTAAACCCATTTTTAAGGCCATTTTCTGTTTTCTTTTCCTTTCTTTCCTTTAATTTCCTTTTCTCTTTTTCTTCTGCTTCTGCTTCTTTTTGTTTCCAGTTTTTGTCTCTGTCTCCATCTCTGATTTTCTCTCTTTCTTCATTCTAGCATTGGAGATTCAACTCCGACCTCGCACTTGCTAAACAGATACCACTTACACCATGCCTGCTGCACCTTCTTGGAGTAATTATAAATTTTGTTATTTTGGGGGGGGGGTCGGTTGTGGGGCTTAAACTCTGGCTTGAGTGCTGTCCCTCAGCTCTTCAGCTCAAGGCAAGCGCTCTACCGCTTGAGCTACAGCGCCACTTCTGATTTTCTCGTGGTTTATTGGAGATAAGAGTCACAAACTTTTCTGCCTGGGCTGGCTTTGAATCGTGATCCTCAGATCTCGGCCTCCTGAGTAGCTAGGATTACAGGCATGAGCCATCGGCGCCCAGCTAAATTTTTTAATTTTTTTTTTTTTTTTGGTCGGCCGTGGGGCTTGAACTCTGGGCCTGGGCGCTGTCCCTCAGCTCTTCAGCTCAAGGCGAGCGCTCTACCACTTGAGCTACAGCGCCACT